ACATAAAGAACAACCGAAATATAAATATTATAATTTAGAAAATATTCATAGCTCTAATATTAAGAGAAAACTGAAATTCGAAAATTCTATTAGAATTTAAGATATATCTTCAATTCTAGCGATGGAGAAGTTACATATTGTATTATTGACCCTGTTATTTATGGTCATCACTTTTTGTACTTATATATTTGAAAGGTGCCAACCAATCTCTGTAAATTATATATATATGTATATTAATAAGAATATAAAATTCGCGTGACCGGATGTCACTTGGTAACATGACCGTCACTGCTCTAACTGGGTATGTAGGTACAGATGTATATATGTTCAATATTATATATTTCAACATATTACCGTAGGAATGAATTATTTAAAATAAATGGGCTATATGAGTTTTCTTAGTATTATAAGAATAAATCCAGTTTTTAAGAAAAAAAATACATTATTTCTTCAAGTAATTTTGACGGCTGGTTACGCATTGTGAATGATCCATATTGTAATTCTTACTCCTTTATATATATATTAAAACATAAGCTTTGTTTCTAGTTTTATTTATTGTATTATATGCTCCGCAGCACCAGCACCACAACTTAACTTACTCAGTATACAAAAGAAAAAGGGAAGAAGACAAAACAGTGTGGCCGTAGTATACATTTCATGAAATACTGAAATTGTAAAATAAGTGTTGGTCAATGTTATTTTTGTAGAAAGGAATAGGGGTATTCCAACAATCCACAATAGAAGAGCAAGAGAGTATAAACGAAAGAAAATAAACTTTGTGCGTAATACTATGTTCGGACCGACATTGAAAACATTTTGAAAACACATTTGTATGTTGTGGAATCTAAGTCGTTCGGACCGACAATGTGTGTTTTCGATGAGTTTTCACTAATAACTATCAAAAGCGGTATTCTCTTACTTTTGCAAGATTGCACGATGACACAAAATGCAAAGGTCCTTTACTGAAATATGCAAAGCCAAGAGAGCACCCATTGCAGAATCTAGTGATATATGATGGCAGGAAAATAAACATGGGTTTTGGTCTGACATATTTTACAGCCATTGCAATCAATTTTCAGCGTGTGTTTGTTGTTATGCCGTTGCACCAAAGGGAAAATTCTGCAAGTTCT